TGTCTTCAGGACAGTGAAAGAAGCCTCAGTCGGCTTCTGTGTCAGGACGCACAGCTATCAGGGCTGCCCGGCTGGCGAGCACACTCCACTGACCTGCAGCACCAGTGCTTCCTTGTCGCAGGACTGTTCAAGGGGAAATAAAGTTACTGCTTTTGCTCAGACTTTGCAAAAAAAAGAAAAAAGAAATATATATATAAATATAATTATTAATCACCTCTGTCCTTGAGAAAGTCTTGAGTGAATAGAGAATTTATGCCATTGCAATATTTGATTGTACAGAGGCACAGTTTCATCAACAGAAGAAGCAAAAAGGCTGTGTATAAGTTTTTGGTACTATGTACCACCTCTGTTATTCTTCTAAAGCCGAAGTATTCATGTACTTAAAACCATATTCTATTTAATTGTGTTTGATTTTAAAATATATATATATGAATTATATTTAAAATTGTGTCAACTTTCTGCTTTCAAGGCATTTATGGCTCTTCTACTGAAATATATTGATCCTTCCAAATATTTCCATTTGCTTTACAAACACCCAGAACATGAGCTACTACTGGACTTAGACTTGTGTTTGGAGTGTGTGGCATAGACCTGAAGTTTTTAGTAGGTGTATATGCTGTGATTAACCCATTTTGTTCTTTTAACAAAATACTTTTATCCCTTTCACATTGCTTCAATCTTTAACAGAAAAGCAATATAAAGGTCATAGAATAAAATGTGGTTTTGGGTGACTCTTGCTGCCTCTGCATGGTTTGGAATAACAATTTCAGTAAAACCCTAGACTATTTAAACTAGTGCTTTCAGTTAAGATAGTTTCTAATTTCTTTGTATGCACTTTGTGCTTCTGAGCTACAGATGCTGGTAGTTGTAAACTTCTTATAAAGAGAAGAATAGCAAGTTTGAGACTTGGTTACTTTATTCTGCCCCACCTGCCCTGCTATGAGGCACAGACACAGTGTGGCCTGAAATTACCATCTAGATTTAATATTTGATCTAAAGTAGATCCTTGTATTCACTCTAATGTTGGAATTGGATTCATCTGACACACTGAGCACCTGCTACGTGCCAGGCCCCGTGAGATGTGCCCACAGAAGACAGTAGTACCCTGGCAGGGTTTTTAGAGGTTCAAGGAAACTTCATCTTTATCATGTTGTTGACATTGACACAGATTGTTAAAAAGAAAAGATATTATTGAGAAAGTGACACTTTTTGTATCTTGATGTGTCTTCATCACTCCTGTAAGATTCGATGAAAGTAAAAAAACAAATGTCAACCAAATCCAGTGAAGAGCAGTAGAACAGGGAGCACCTTTTTGTAACCTTCTACTTGGGTTTCAACATTCGTGGAGCTTTGTGACATGTAAGTAGTTTACGGTACTTGAGCTTTGACTAGTTTAATAGGAATTTGGAGAGTGAGATCATTTTGAATTGTAGAAAATTATAAACTTCTTTGCTGTTTTAAGTACTGACAGCTAAGTGGCTGATGAAGCACGTCTCTCCAGTGACACTGCCTGAATTGCTATGACTACCCCCCACCTTCACTCCTACAGGAGTGGGGGCCATGTTTGTACACAGTGACCTCTTTCTCTCTCACCCTCTCCTCCCTTCCCCTCACATACCAGTTGATTGGACCAGAGTTGAACTCCTGATCCAAACAGGCCTAAGACAGTTCTTTTTTTTTC